ATTTTCAATTAATTTAAAAACAAATTGAACTAATTTTGACTTTCTTTTATTTCAGTAAGTTCGTTCTATGAAGATGAGGGGAATCGCTACAAATAGTAGCAGAAGATGATGCCATATAAGGTTAGTGTATTTTAATTTTTTATTTTTTTGTTTATTGCAAATTGAAGTGTGCGAAACTCGGTGACCAGTGAGTGCGTATTGTGTATTTTCGAGTGCTAATGGACATTTAGTAGTGCGCGATTTTAAAAATTTCGAGTGATTAGTGAGTGCCAATGGGGGTAATGGAGAAGACAATCGTGCTACAAGGGTCCGGATTAAAGGGTAAGTCAACAATAACTTTTAATTTTTTAGAAAACTAACATTTTTTAATTTTATTTAATATTCTCAATGAATTTACCAACACATTAGACTAATTTTGTGTTTCTTTATTTTCAGTAGGTCCGTATAAGAAGCAGAGGCAAATTGCTACACAAGGTAGCAGAAATAGATGCCATAAAGGTTAGTGGATTTTATTTTTTTATTTTATTTTTTTGGTTGTGGCTAAGTGAAGTGTGTGAATTTGTGATTTTTGAGTACAACAGTAAGTATTTATTAAATTATGAATAGAAATTAATTGTGTTTCAGATAAAATGTATTATTTCCCAAAAATTTGTAGAAGACGGATGYAAATTTACTTWTAAAATAATTTTAACARAATTTTTCYTGTTTATCGCAAAGTGAAGTGTGTGAATATGTGATTATCTCGAACATTTAAATTAAAACTTAAATTTAATTATTGAAGTTCAAAAAATAATATTTTTTAAAACTTATAATATTATTAGGAAATGTCTCAATATTATAAAAAAAACATTTTAATAATATCAATAATAATTACTTAATTAATAATATGTAGTTTATTAAGTTGCGAGGCGGGAGATCTGTAGTTACGCTAGATTGGGAAATTTTAGAGAATTTTTCTTACATAAATCTCATTTAAAACAATTCATCAACATCATTACATGGTGATTCCTGCCTGACTGCAGGTCTAAACCGCCGGGTCAGTGGAGTGTAAAAGTTGTGGAAATTATTTATCAGAAAATTATGTCATAAAATAATTATCTGCCAAATGGTTTCTTCTTCTTTTGCCGGGTCAAAAAATAAAAAAGAAAATTTTACGTTTAACAGAATCTATTTATTAAATTATGAATAGAAATTAATTGTGTTTTTGTCCCAAAAGATCCGGATTAAAGAGTTAGTCAGAAAAACCTTTAAAAGATTTTGTCCTTTTTGAAAAACCACAAAATTTTAAGGATTCTGTTTTTAAGACACTTAAAATTCTTCCTCTGATGAAGCTGTGCTGAATTTCAAAGCATTTCGAGCTGTTTTTCTTTTTAGGATTCTGTCCTGTTTTTAAAGTTATATTAAAAAAGTTAAATATAAATTTAAACAGAAATAGGAGGAAATATTTGCACAAATTCTTTTAATACCACTTTTCAGTGAATTTCAGCAACATTTCACTTTCAGTATTCGAATCACCTCCCCACAATCAAATTCGATGATTGCCATTATGTTGTTTCAAATTTCCGGGTAAACCACATTATTCTGGAAACGTTCAGTTTCATTAATCATTATACGTCTAACATTTGTTTGCATTTCTCTTTTCCAATTTTCCACTAAATGACTTTGTCATCTCCGTGACACATTATTATTATCGCACTTTTTAATTTAATTCCGAATAGATCAAAAACTCTAGTAGTCAACCACTTAATAATTTTCGCCGAAATTCAAATCCATTTTACAGCACACAAAACCATTCGTAACCACGAATTCAACTTTGACTGAATTTCAGGAAAGTTGAGATGAAAGCATCATCCAAGTGCAATACTTCACACACCAAACAACTTTGCTTTGCACATTTTAAACACAAATTAAGTCATTTTCAGTAAAACGCGTTCTGAAACTTACTTAAACTCTATTTACATTTAATAATAAGGTAGTTTTCAAATTTAATATTTCTTAGGAGGACAAAACAAAGTATGTAGAGTAAAAACTTCTAAATTATTACTATTATCAAAGTTTGGACTAAAACTAGAAAATGTGTGATGAAAGTTCTATTCCATACAATAAAACTTACGTTGAAATAGCTGTTTCTTTATCTTATTAATATACTACGTGACACATGAATTGCAACACGAAGGAGACGTGTTAGCTTTCCACCAAATTTTATACAGGATGGGAAAGAAATATTACCCATCTACTCTTCAGAATTTTAATTTATAACACCGATTCTAATTCACCCCAAATTTAGAAATCATAATATCATTTTTACATTAAGTCGACAAAATGTGACCTACTGGGTGTGTCAGAACTCGCGCCCCAGAGAAAAATTTTAGTTAATATACCAGGAACATGGAAAAAGTGTTTAAAAAATTCTATATATCAAAAAATTTTGACATTTGACATTTTTTACCTCTATTTAATGATACTGATGATCTTGTATATGTTTTTTTACAAATACTTAGTAAAGGAAAAAAATGACAATAAAAGGCAAATATAATACCTATAATAAATAAAATATAATGTAATAAATAAAAGAAGTGCAAAATTCAGACTCTCATAACTTCTAAATTTTTATAGAAATTTTTTTCCAAGTTACTGGTATCTTACCTTACATGACATTTTTCTCTAGGGCGCGAATTCTGGCGCACCCTGTATAATGTTTCTCTTTTACGATTTGATTTAATAGCTCTGCGATCATTTGTCAAGGGTTTTAATGATCTGTTGAAATGAAATCGTCATGTAAACTGCTTAATAAAAATAAGATCTTCGAATCAATGCTTATTATTGTTACAAAAAACTCAGAAAACTCTAGAAACCAATCAACAAAACGAAAAGATTAACTCTACCTATCTCTCGATTACAAAACTGGAAACGTGCACCATCTACTAGATTAAATACACCGAACCGCTGATGTATGTTGCCAATAACCGATGCGAAACCCGAAAAATCCCATCACGGGTTTTCAGTCCAGTTTTGCCAATCATCTACGAATCAATCAATTTTTGTAATATTTGCCTACAAAAATGTGGGTCAGCTTTGCGCTCTTTATCACTCTGTACTTCCCCTAAAATATCCGCAAACCTCTAGATAAATCTCCTATTTTACGCCAGGTACGAAATCCTTATTTAAATTGGCAACAAATTAAATGTACAGTAAAAATAATAAAGACAATGAATGAGTGTTTAGCA